GCTGCTAGACAGGAAACTCAAGGCCAGGACCTCAAAGGTAGCCTTCTCAGAAGAGCTACCTGTTCCACGCGCAGGGCCGGAGAGACAGGCACAGATCAGGAGTCTCAATGCATGGATGAGACAATGGTGTAGGGAGGAAGGGCTCACGTTTGTTAGGCATTGGGATGCTTTTAGGAACAAGAGGGAGCTGTACAAAAGAGACGGTCTCCACTTGTCCCAAGAAGGAACCAGGCTCCTGGCATACTGACCATATGGTGACTTGCCTGTCTGGTGCAAAGGTAGCAGACATTATGCGTGTTCTAGATAGGCTGGTAGATAGTGCTGGGGAGGAGCCAGTGGTTGTGGTACATGTTGGCATCAATGATGTGGGGAAATGCAGTTGTGAGGTCCTGGAGGAAAAATTTAGGCTGCTAGACAGGAAACTCAAGGCCAGGACCTCCAAGGTAGCCTTCTCGGAGACAGGCACAGATCAGGAGTCTCAATGCATGGGTGAGACAATGGTGTAGGGAGGAAGGGTTCAAGTTTGTTAGGCATTAGGATGCTTTTTGGAACAAGAGGGAGCTGTACAAAAGAGACGGTCTCCACTTGTCCCAAGAAGGAACCAGGCTCCTGGCGCTTAAAATCAAAAAGGTGGCAGAGCAGTTTTTAAACTGAATATTGGGGGAAAGCCGACAGGAGATGAAAAGTCTCTGGGTCGGGATGGTTCATCTCAAAGAGATGAAGGGGTAGCTGTTACTTTTCTACAAGGAAATGGATTAGAATTGTCCACTGGGACTATGGCTGATATGGACTGCCTGGCAAGGTCTCAGGAAGCAGGAGGAAGGTTGTGGGCTTAACATGCCTGGGAAATTATAGGTGTTTATATACAAATACTAGAAGTGTCCGAGGTAAAATTGGGGAGTTGGAATGCTTGGTGTTGGGGGGGGAATAGACATTGGGGTATTTCAGAAAATTAGTGGGATGAGGAAAATCAGTGGGATATGGTGATTCCTGGTTATAAATTATATCGGAATGATGGCTGGGAAGAGTTGGAGGTGGGGTGGCTTTGTATGTCAGAGAGGGTATACAGTTCAGTAAGATTGGATTCACTTCTGGAAATGCTATGGGTTGAAATAGTGGGTCCAAAAGGAAGATAACACTGGGAGTTTATCGCCCACCAGATCAAAAGATAGAGGAGGATTATAAAATGATGAATGAATTAAAGATAGCGGCTAGACAAAATACTGTGTCGTAATAGGTAATTTGAACTACCCACACATTGATTGGGTCATATGTGTTAAAGTTGGGAAAAAGAGATTGAGTTTTTAGACACTCTCAATGACTGTGCTACAGAGCAAATGGTCACAGAACCTACCAGGGAAGAGGTGAGCCTGGATTTGGTCCTACGTAGCACCCAGTACCTGGTGAGAGATGTAAAAGTGATTGCACCACTTTGGAATGGTGACCATAATGTTATTGAGTTCAACATTTGTATAAATAGGGAGTAGCCCAAAAAGACTGACACAACCACTTTTAACTTTAAAAGGGGTAACTTCTCTGAAATGAGGAGAAATATGAGGAAGAAACTGAAATAAAAAGTAGAAAGGGTCAAAACAATTGGGGAAGCTTGGAGACTATTTAAAACTACAATCCTAGAAGTTCAGAAAATATATATACCGCAGGTTACAAAAGGCACAAATAGGTATAGTAAAAAGCCTGCATGGTTAACAAACAAAAAAATGGAAGCTGTAAAAGGTAAGAAGGATTCCTTTAAGTGGTGGAAAGCTAATGAGGTTGATAAAAGGGAACACAGACTGTGGCAATCAAAATGCAAGTCTGTGATCAGGCAGGCAAAAAGGGAATATGAGGAGCATATAGCTAAAACATAAAGACCCACAATAAAACTTCCTTCAAATATGTTAGAACCAGGAAACCAGGCAGGGAGGCAGTGGGGACCTTTGATGACCAAAGGGTAAAAGGAGTACTGAAGGATGATAGGGAAATGGCGGAGAAGCTGAATGCATCTTTTGCCTCTGTCTTCATTGTGGAAGATGAGAAGTGCTTGCCCACTCCAGAACCACTGATTTCGGGAGGGGTGTTGAAAGACCTGAGTCAGATTGAGGTGACGAGAGAGGAGGTCCTACAACTGATAGACAACTTAAAAACTAATAAATCACCAGGCCTGGATCCAAGAGTTCTGAAAGAACTCAAATGTGAACTTGTGGATCTCCTGACAATGTAATCTTTCGTTAAAATCTGCCTCCATTCCTGAGGACTGGAAGGTAGCTAATGTCACTCCCATCTTTAAAAAGAATTCCAGTGGAGATCTGGGAAATTACAGGCCAGTCAGTCTGACGTCAATACTGGGTAAGTTGGTGGAAACTGCTATTAAGGAAAGAATTAGTAGGCACATTGATGAACAAAAACTATTGAGGCAGACTCAGCATGGGTTCTGTAAGGGAAGATCTTGTCTCACTAACCTGTTCATGTTTTTTGAGGGGGTGAACAAACATATGGACAAGGGGGACCCAATAGATGTTGTTTACCTTGACTTCCAGAAAGCTTTTGATAAAGTTCCTCATCAAAGGCTCCTAAGTAAGCTCAATAGTCACGGGATAAAAGGACAATTCCTCTTGTGGATCAAAAACTGGCTAATTAATAGGAAACAGAGTGAGTATAAATGGGCAATTTTCTCAGTGAAGGGTGGTAGGCAGTGGGGTACCACAGGGATCAGTACTGGGTCCGATGCTTTTTAAATTGTTTATTAAGGATTTGGAGTTGGGAGTAAGCAGTGAAGTGGCTAAATTTGCGGATGACACAAAGTTGTTCAGGATGGTGAGAACCAGGGAGGATTGTGAGGCACTCTAAAGGGATCTGCCGAGGATGGGCGAGTGGGCGTCAACGTGGCAAATGGGGTTCAATGTGGCCAAGTGCAAAGTGATGCACATTGGGGCCAAAAATCCTAACTATAAATACACATTGATAGGGTCCGAACTGAGAGACCTTGGATTCATAGTAGATAACTCACTGAAAATGTCAAGACAGTGTGCGACTGCAATAAAATAGGCCAACGCTATGCTGCGGATTATTATGAAGGGAACTGAGAACAAGTCGGCCAGCATCATAATGCCCCTGTATAAATCAGTGGTGCGAACTAATTTGGAGTAGGCCACCACACCTCAAAAAGGATATTATAGCATTGGAAAAAGTGCAGAAAAGGGCAACTAGAGTGATAAAAGGGTTGGAACACTGAAGAAAGGTTAAAGTGCTTGGGACTCTTTAGCTTGGAGAAATGACGGCTGGGGGGTGACATGATCGAGGTTTATAAGATTATGCATGGGATAGAGCAGGTAGAGAAAGTAGTACTTTTCTCCTCTTCTCACAATATAAGAACTCGTGGGCACTCAATGAAATTGCTGAGCAATCAGGTTAGAACAGATAAAAAAAGGAAGTAGTTCTTCACCCAAATAGTAATTAACACACGGAATTCACTGCCACAGGAGGTGGTGGTGGCTACAAGCATGGACAGCTTCAAGAGGGAATTAGATAAATATATAGAGCAGAGGTCCATCAGTGGCTGTTAGCCATAAGGTATAGATAGGAACTCTCCGTTTGGAGCAAGTGATGCACTGTATTCTTGGTGCTTGCGGGGGCATGCAACAGTGGGAGGGCTTTTGGTGTCCTGGCCCCACTGCTGGACCTCCTGATGGCACCTGGTATTTTTGGCCACTGTGTGACAGAGTGTTGGACTAGATGGGCCATTGGCCTGATCCAACATTGGCTTCTCTTATGTTCTTAAGATTTGTATGAGGAGTATTCTTCTACTTTTATACTATTTATATATTTATTAAGACTTTTGATAGCTTCAGGACCATGGTATTCATCTGGAGCGATTGATGGAGATGGGGATTGGGGATACCATGGTGTGGGAGATACTGTCCGGTCTGGCCAAATGTACAAGGAAGTAGTGCTAGGAGAAGAATAGTACAGGTGCAGTAGTGGATCATACTTGCTTTTGCTTTCTAACATCTTCATTAAGCCACTGGGTGAATGGCCAGTACTCAACTGAGTTGTGAGCCATTGCCTGGGGGCGGTTAACGGAAGTCCAAATTGCTGTTAAAGCAAGACTTTTAAGTTGTGGCATCCATTATGTGTGAGTGCCCCTCAACTGTTGCTAAGTTCTTATTTTTTTATGCTAGATTGAAAGCTTATTTGTTTCTTCAGGCTTTTGTTAATTTGTTACCAGATATTTATTTTCTTGCTTTGTAATTTAATATTTACAAAAAAGTTTTTTGCTACCCATTTATTTTACGAAGTTTTAAAAATAATTGTGTTGATACTAAGTTGTGTCTATTGCTTATACTTCCGTTTAGTGTTGGAAATACTGTTCTTACATATGTCTTGTATTTGTACTGGTTTATGTTATAAGTCACCTCAGGTAGAAATTTTGTAAGTTCTGAAAATGCTTCATATAACGACAATAAAGTTAAAACTGTCGATAATGACGGATGGTCATTATTATCACCAAGTTACTGGGACTGAGAAAGAGAGTTTGCCTAAAGCCACTTTCTAAGTTCATGTCTGAGCTGATATTTGAATGGATTTTCTATTCATGTTCTTAACAGCTATGCTGATACCTTGCTAAGTGGAAAATAATATTGTTTGGCTCAGAACATGCACCAGAAAAACATACCTGCAGTTATTCTCTTGTAGTTTTTAAAATTTTTTTCAAGAGTTGTGTTTGGAAGACATAAATTTATGACCTGATTAAGTCTCTAATAATACCAGTGAAATAAAGAAGCTGTTTTTAAAAATTAAAAATGCTGAAATTGTGTAGTGAAGGAGCCTAATGTGAACTCAGAATGTAATATGCAAATATTTTGTGTATAAATAGAATTATTTAGAAATGCTTAGAGAAAATAGTTAAGAAAGCCTTGTTACACAATGGGATCAGAAAGATTTAAATGGTGATGCTACTATAATAATATTTTAAAATTATATATATATTTTTTTTGTTACAGCTGGCTTGAGATGTATTTGAATAGTGAAGCTTTCAGATACATAATCTGTAGTACTGATTTGACTGCCTCACTGAATCTTGGTAAGTTATATTCAAATAATGCATGTTTAATAACGCTATAAATAAAAATGTGGTTTTCAGTTTGTATGTTGCACAGATCTGAGACAGTGGTTCTCTATTCATACTAGGTCCTCTCTAATTGGAATTCTACCAAATTCAAGTAATGGATTAGCTTTTGCACCTGAGCTAAAGAATGAGGAATAGATTGAGCTGATATAGCGTATAACTGTGCTTTCATGGAGTACCAGAGAGCTGTTGCACAGTTACACTCACTATGTCAGGACCCTAAATTCAGGTATTCACACATAAGCTGTGGTCACACACGCTAAATAATCCACTTTCAGTGCACTTTCCAACTGGATTTTACTGTGTGAACTGGCAAAATCCAGTTGGAAAGTGGATTGAAAGTGGATAGTGTGTGTGACCACAGCCATAGATTACCTTTTGATTTCTGTGACAATAAAGCATCATATGCCCAAGTGGGCTTTGGGCCTGTGTTTCACAAATAGCATGTCAAAACACTTCAAAAATGAGAGGGATCTCTAAGAAAGTTTATAATAAGGTATATGACTCTGCTAATCAAACCTATAATATGTCAGATTTCACTGGGCACGCTCATTGAAGATTGCCCTTCAGAGCATATTATCATTAAGTATTCAAAGCGGTTTCTGTGCATTGTGCTTCAGGAATTTTAAAAACCCTGAAATATCATTTTTACCAGTTGTGTTTTCATATCTGTATGTACAGTCCCATTGGAATTTTCCTGTTATGACCATCATAGACATAGTTTAGAACTGAAAAGCAAAAAAGTATAAAGATGGCAAGTCACAAATAAATTTTTTAGCTTTCTGTCCCGTTCATTTTATATTGAGATCTAAGCTGAAAATGAAGGCTTAGATCCAAGAACTGCAAGAGCAGCTTTGCTTATGTCTGGAGTGAGCACCAGACTGAGGTCCACTTGTGCCACTGAAACTGCCCCCCACTAAAGCTGCTCTGCTGGAATCCTTGGTGCCAAAGAGGAGATAGATGTGCTGGCAGGCAGCCACCCCAGCATGCCCGAAACAGTGGCCACTGGGAGAGCAGTGAGCCTGGGCCTTCTTGAGCACACTGGGCAGGCAGCAGATGATGCAGTGACAGAAGACTGGGGGCTGTCCCGTGAGCTGGGGAGGTTCCCAACAGCCCAGCCAGACGTTGGAGTGAATCATGGGGAGGTACCAATGGGTTCTTACCTGGGCACTTCGTTCCAGAGGCCATCAGAGGAGCGGAGGCTGACAGAACAGGGGGAAGAGGGCTGTCAGGAGAGCCAGCAGGAAGTCAAGGGCTGACAGGGGGAAGGAGCCAGCCACTGGCAGCTTGATCCTGAGGCGGGGCTTACTGGAAATGACAGGAGGGTGGGCCTGCTCAAAGCTAGGATGGGCCACAAGGCTCAGTAGCCCCTTTTCATTACTTCTACACCCTGGTGGAGAGAGAGAAGCCATAAATGGAGAAAGGTGGGAGGGGCCAATGAAGGGGAGAAGTTATGAACGAGAGGCATCACCTATGTGAGGGATTGGTCAAGGCCTCAGCAAGGGCAGGACCTGGCCTGGGGCTGGGCTAGCTGGGAAATTGTGGGGACGAGGGGGGGTTTAAAGGGAGGCTCCCGATGATGGCTGAGGAGGAGAAGCAGGTTCAGCTCAAGTCTGTAAGGGCTGCTGCCTGGGGAAGAGAGAAATAAAGTGAAGCAACCTCCTTTGCTTTCCATTTAAAGGCCTAGGGAGGCCCCGTGGCTCACAGCAAGATGGCTGAAAGGCAGCTGACTGAGGCTGGGCAAGAGGAGTGCCATAGTTGACAGAAGTTTACTTTCCTGCCTCCTTCAGTCTTCTGTGGTTCCTTGGACTACCTGAAAAGCTTGTCTTTGGCTTCACAAGACTCTCAAGAATTATGAGATACTAGCCTGATACCCGTGCTTCGCTATGGTATTTAAGTTCCATAAATCCAGTTATAATACTAATGATGTGAAGTTTGATTGTTGTAGGAAGTATAATGGAGAAGATAGTAGTATAAAAAAAATGAAGTGAGACATACATACTGGTTCCCGCCCCCTCTAACGAAGGACCTCTCTGTAGACCACATTGGTGATTCTGCCCTCAGGTGCTTGGATCACCAGGCTGCTTGGTGAGCTCATTCTGGAGCGGGCCACACAGAACTGTCCATGTGAGAAGCAGTCGTCTGTTAAGTCAGTTCCTGACACCTTCAGTGTCTGGCCTTGGGATATTGATGGTCATAGCAAAGCAGACCTTGAGGGGGAACTGCAGCCTCTTGAACTCGAAGGGGTTTTCTGATGGTTTGAGTGGTATGCGTGGTATGAACCGACTCTCCCCAAGCACTGCTGGTGAGCAGTGTGGCCTCAATGATGTTCCTGTGCAGGGCCTTCGCTTGCAGTCTGGTGCCATTGCAGAGTTTGGGTGGGTTGAGGTTCCATAGCAGCATTAATGTATCCTAGCCCTGCTCCTACACCTGACAAACACCCGCGCTTCGCTATGGTATTTAAGTTCCATAAATCCAGTTATAATACTAATGATGTGAAGTTTGATTGTTGTAGGAAGTATAATGGAGAAGATAGTAGTATAAAAAAAATGAAGTGAGACATACATACTGGTTCCCGCCCCCTCTAACGAAGGACCTCTCTGTAGACCACATTGGTGATTCTGCCCTCAGGTGCTTGGATCACCAGGCTGCTTGGTGAGCTCATTCTGGAGCGGGCCACACAGAACTGTCCATGTGAGAAGCAGTCGTCTGTTAAGTCAGTTCCTGACACCTTCAGTGTCTGGCCTTGGGATATTGATGGTCATAGCAAAGCAGACCTTGAGGGGGAACTGCAGCCTCTTGAACTCGAAGGGGTTTTCTGATGGTTTGAGTGGTATGCGTGGTATGAACCGACTCTCCCCAAGCACTGCTGGTGAGCAGTGTGGCCTCAATGATGTTCCTGTGCAGGGCCTTCGCTTGCAGTCTGGTGCCATTGCAGAGTTTGGGTGGGTTGAGGTTCCATAGCAGCATTAATGTATCCTAGCCCTGCTCCTACACCTGACAGAAACACCCGCCTGTCTGGTGTTGGAGAGGAATGTGTTAAAAGGCATCGGGAGGATGGGCCAGCAGCAGAGTGTTGATTTTACGATGAGGAAACTTTATTTTATATATATATAGATGTCACATAGAAAGCTCTAGTTAAAAGACTAATTGGTGAAAATGCCTTTCCCCTCAAAAAGAACAGCCCTTCTGCTTGTATAGGATAGGTTCCAATCTAAGCAAGTGGAAGCAAGACAGAAAGGCTTGGGAGAAAATTTCATAAAGCAATTTATTTTGCTGTGAATATCTTATTTGTGTTCTGTGGCACAAGAGCCATAGAACGCAGAATAATTATGTTCTCCAAAATAATGAGCCACTTAAGTCTTAAAGTAATTGGATTTGCTGTTCTTGATTTTTTTCCTCACCTGAAACTAAGCATTTCCCTTATGTACGTGAGGCTGGATAGACACTAGTCACTTGCAAAGTGATAAAGATTAAGTCATATCTTGTCATTAATTCGGGAATCTTATTTGCAGAAAACTTGTCTACAGAAAAATGCATTGATTTAAATCAAGGCCTGATTTTTAAGACTGATTTCAATGATTGATTATAAAATGAAGACTGCCATGTTGCAAATCGTGCATTTTCTGAAAAAGTATAATTTGCAAACTGGCAGCTCTAACAGTTAAAAAACTGGTTTGGATCTAAAGACTCACAAGCAGAACTCCACTCCCAGGACAGATCTTTTCCACTTCCCCATTTTTGCTGCCACCTTCTGAGCTCCCTGAAAAGCATCTTTTGAGAGCCGAGGGACCCTATGGAATGGCTTGGGTTGCAATGTGGTGTTCTGCAGTGGGAAGGGATAATGCAGGGGACATACACTGTTTTCTTTTGTTTCAATAGAAATTCCATTTCATACAGGGGAAAGGGAACTGGAAATTCAACCTATTGGTTCTGCAACTAAATAAAACCTATATATGATATAATGCAGTATAATCCAAATCTTCTGTTAATATGCTTGGATTATAAACGTTCATACTTTGTGGCAATTATAAGTACAGCTTATGACAGTTGCATCATATTTTTATGATACTTCAATGTCAGAGTAAAATATTTTTCCTTATGTAGAAAAGCAGATTTTAATTCGTTGTGTTTTGATGTAGATCATGAATTGCTAGTTATCATCCTGGAGTGTCACGCTACCATGCACATTCCCATACATTGTTTCATGAACAATTCTTGTCACAAAAATTGCTACCATAAGGAACTTGCATGGTTGCTTGCATGGTTGAGTTTTGGTCCTGGAATTGGTGGCATCTCTTTAAAAGCACAATATGGCTTGGTGAAAACTCTTTTCAGTTTCATCTTTGAGCTTGAAGTTGGTTCACTGTGTAATCAGAGCGAGGAGAATTTCCATTACGAAAGTATGTAGAAATAGTCACTTGGACTGGAAGCAAATGTGAAGTTTGGATTTAAATTAGGCAAATGGGAACCTTTTGAGACTCCAGGTTTTAAAATGCAGTGTTGTTCTACTGAGAATTTTGTTGGTGGACATGAACAATTCATTATGTGGCTCAGTGTTATAAAGTAAAAGTGTATTCACTCTGAATTAGTGCACTTGAAACCACAAACACAAAAGGGAGTTAGCATTGTAAAGGTGTTTGGAATTGTGAAATTGTGATATATAGCTTTTGTTAAAATCAGTTCATGAACAGATGCATGGGTTGCAAAATACAGTAATGAAATACGTTGGAGAAACTTGCTGAGGAACAGAGTGAAAAACTTCTGCCCAGTACTTGAAAGGACTGCATCACCTAAGTGAGGTGTAAACTTTTTTAAAAATTTTATTTTCAATTTTTATTTCACAAAAATATATACAAATATCCATTTAGTACTTATACAGTTCTTAATATGAAGTTCCTCTTTCTTTTTTATCATCGAATATCTTAAACTAGCATAATCTCAGCTCTGATCTA